TGACATTGATAAGAGCACATTTTATACTATTATACCTCCAACAATATTTACTCTAATTATTTAAACATGTAAAACAGAAAGGTGTTTTGCCAATTTTGAAAATACTATGCATATGTGGTGGTAGAGAATTAAGATAAAGAGAAACACTTTTAAAAGAGAGAGAATTACAATGAGGTCCCAAGTAAGGAAAACAATTAAAAAACAAGTCCCAAAAATTGTCATTCTCACTATAGAATTTATCATTATAAGCTGTTGAGATTGTTATTGGAACATTTTGGTAATTATTTCTTTTCTGTGGGACTTAATTGTAATTCCCCCTTTAAAATACTCTTTGGAATGGCAGCCATAATTTTCTTGCACCATCCTACTTGAATAGTCAGGGAACTCATCAATATTTCTGACCTTTCCATGTGAACTTGCTCATTAGATTCAAGTAACGATGGAGTATTTTGACATGAAGCTTGAGATGTACTTGTTCTTGCTTTTGATGTTTCACATCTTCTTGAAAATGAGGGATGTGATAGGCCCCTAATTAAAGATGACAAGATCTGAAATGCTCGAGACAAGGACTCTAAACAGTGTGTTAGTGACATCCAAGACAAAACAAATGACGGAAATACATCACGAGCTGATCCTTTATAATCACATAAAGACAAATATTTAATGTTTTTCAATCTCACTAATGAAAATAACACTTGTGCTATAGCAGTTTGATTTGCATCCAAAGTTGTCAAAGATTCCATCTTCATTGAATAGAATTTTTGAAAGTAATTTGAAAGAATTAGAAGCCCAAGTGCGAATTTGGATTATGTTCTCATGCTCAAAAACACTTATGACTTGTGTTGGAATCATAGTAGAATCTTTCAAAAGTAACTTTTTAATCATAATTTATGATATACGAGGTATGTATATGAAAGAGGTTTTGTTTCGAATTGTGTGAACAAGTGATTTTGAGAATCCTAACTTAAGGCCTGTTTGGGTAACATAAGAAACCATGGCGGTTTGGGTCCCAGATTTGCCAAACATGGGAAAAATTAACAAACTATGATTTTGGACTCAAAACTATGGTTTCAGAAAAAGTGAATTCATGCTGTTTTTGGCTTAAATTGGAGAGTATGATTGTGATTGTTAGAGTAGATCTTAATGATAATGTGACTTTAACATCCCTTAATTATTTTTTATAAACATATTTAATCTTATATTTTATAAATATATATACACATATTAATTATTTATTAATTACATTATCTTATATATTATTAATTATGTTGGTAAAATATATATTATTAACAAGTTTATTTTTTCAAATTAAAATATATTATAAAATCTATCTTTTATATAATTATCATATTAACTTATGTATTGTTTAGTAATTTGCACATATAAAAAGTACTTCTAATAATAACTATTCAAACACTCTCACATTATCATAATCATTTTTTCACAAAATTTATTCTTCATAAAATCTATTCTCCCAGAAATCCATTTTTTAGAAGCTATTCTTCAAACTATGATTTGATTTTATCCAAACACCTCCCTAATCCTAAACAAGCATTTATTTATGTAAGTCGTGTTTAAATTTTCCTCACATACTTTGTAATCCATAAATTATGATGAAAAAGAAAATGTTTTTGAAGGATTACAAACAACCACTAGATTACTTTGACTTGATCTACTTAATTTGAATGTGAGACCAATACACACACACCAAGAGCTGCTTATTTTGTCTGTTTTTTATCGCTAATTTTTCAACATTTTTTATTTTAATGATCTTCCATGTGTTGAGGTGGGGGTAGCTGAGTCATGACATTATGATGGATGATGTGTCATCATGTAGAAGAAAAATAAGATTCACCATAAACATATGAGAAGAAAAGTTGGAGTCATCTATTAAAAATAAAATGATAAAAAATCACTTAGGTGGTGTCTCCAACACGCATGAAAAAAGGCTATTTGCATGGATAAAAAGAATAGATCAAAAAGTATGGAAGCCCTTCAAAAAGATTTGGAAAAAATTAAAGAAAATACTTCATAAATTGTGGAGTAAATCTTCAGATTAATAATTTATCTAAAAATTTAGTTGTTAGTAGAATATGATGACACCATGTGAGAGGATGACACTTCGTAAGATAAAATTTCTCGTTGTCGGTATCTCCTACACTGCACCTCCCATTTCTCACAAAACTACGCAAGTATGTTTATTTTCTTTATTTTAGGCACCAATTACGCAAGTATGGTTACTTATTCTTCTAATTGATTTCACATCTTTTGTTTCTCAAAATTTTCAGTGATATTTTCTTCTTTTTTTTTCTTTTGGTGCCAACGGTATTTCATTTGATCGTTAATAATGCAAAATATACCTATGGCAACCTCTTAAGGCGCATATGGGACTAAGACCTACTGGGGGAAAAAAAAAAACAAGATAAAAAAGATGGGACTAACACCTATGTAGCTTTTTTCTTCCCCCTCCGAGACCTCCTCTCTAGTATTCACCAAGTCACTCTTGACAAACTTTGACCGGATAAATATCTACATTAATACTAACCAAGATAGAAAGGTATTATGCAATGATATTTGACTAGAACTTGTTCTAGTAACTAGCAAGGGAATTTTCTGTAACCTATAACCTTTACCAAGTCCCTCTTGACAAACTGTGAGGAGCAATAATTCATTATCCAAGTTAAGATCTTTTTCAAAAATAGGAGATAAAAGTCTTTTGACGAGACAGCCAAATTGTGAACCCAGGCACGATTCTGAATCTAATTCTCTTCGATGCCCGCCATTGATTGAACAAGAAGAAGATTTCTTTTTCTTAATTTTTCTCATCCAATTAGTCCATACGCAAGCATCCTAAACATGTAAAAGCAGTTTAGCTTAAAAAAAAAAAAAATTCTACTCCAAGTTTATATCTTTTTTATGTAATGAACAGAACCTTACGACTTACAAGTTCTCCACTTCATTGTATTAAATTATTTAATTATCTGTTCATTATTTTCTTGATAAATATCTATATTTATATCGTCACATCCATTTTCTGATGTTTGTTGGGAAGAAGCATGTTCAAGGGTCCTTTTCGGCTTCATATGTATAAATCAAGTGGGCTTAAAATGTTAAGAGAATGAATCGGCCCGACCTTTTAATAGGCAACGACATAAGTTGATAAGCCCACAAGAATCATTATGTCTTCTGCTGAATCCACTTTCCATTTTTCTTCCAACGGCCCATTTCCATACGTCGTGTTGCTCTGGGAAATTTTCGGAGGAGAAAGGATCTCTCGGAACTGAAGAAGATAATGATGATTAAGGAGAATACAATTTTAGTGAATTTTATATTTGGGACGAGGTAGTACTAATTGAGGATTTTGATCATTTATTGACGTTTAAAAAAAAATATCAATTGGCAAAAATATCTCCATTCACATTCACAAAGTCCGAAATTTTGGAAGGTCAGAAGAAAACGTAGGAAGAAAAAATAGGAAGAGAAAACATGAGAAAATTTTAAAACAATTAGGAGAGAAAATAATAGACAGGACCTATCACTTTCTTTCTTTCTTTTTTTTTGTGGTCAAATTGTCTTTCATCCCGTCTTGTTTTACTGACATCTTTAGATGACATTTGGTTTGATTATTTTAAGTTATTATATTTTATTTAAAAATTATCCATTTTGATTTTTCGGTAGAAAAATGTGTTCATGACAAATAAATTGAATTTAAATTTTTTGTGCACTGGATTTAAAATTATTTTATGGTATTAATTTTAATACGATTTTTACCTTTAACTTACTTTGCCAGAGATAACAACATGACACATAATATATCCTATTGCAAAGATGTTATCATTGTGACATTTTTACCCTGTCAATCAAACTGCATTTTGTATCCTTACATTATTTCCCTAATTTTTTTCTCTCACCATTTTCTATCCTTACATTCCCCCCCCCCCCCCAACTTTTCTCCCCATCCAAACAAACTCACATGAACATGACTTCTAATAAAAAACAAGCAATATGAATTAAAGTCCATTATTGTGTAAGATGATAGAATAGCGCATGATTAACTGGTTCATAAAACAGATTCATTCACCCAAAAATTCACATCCCCTTTGCCTTCTCTTCTGATCAATCTGCTACCAAATTGCTACATTGGGGCCTAATGAACTAAGATAAAACCTGGCCCTGTAATATGACCCTTTACAAAATCAACTAGAAAACTACAATCAGTTTCAACTAAAGCTTTATCACAGACCAAATTATTTGGTTTAGTCCTAAAAGCAAGTGCCGCAGCATATATAGCAGAAAGCAGCTTCACGCTTTGAGATAACTAAAGCCAAATGCTGCATAAGTATTCAGTTTGAGCTCACAGGCCAAGAAAGAGGCCACTTCGCATCTACAGTACTTGTGTTAGAAGGAAACACAGAATTGAGCTATCCATGAGTCATCGTCTGGTAGCATCCGTGCACTGCTCAGGGTCACCTGGAGTCACACAAACACAAAATGAACAACTAGACCACTGTTTACAACAAAGTCAACCTCAAAAGTTAGATAACCCTCTTAATTCACCATAAAATAGCTTTCAAATCACTTGAATAATCAATACGTCGTTCAAACTATCACTGGCCGCACATAAAGTCCACATGGGGTCAGTTGGTTTAGATCATTACGCCCAGAACAAGGTAGTTTCTAAATATACCAGCACATTGGAGAAGACGATCCCTAGCTGAGTATTACACCAAGTATAGTTCAACCAGTTGCATAAGAGAAAATAATTTCAAAATTTTCCATACCTGAGCCACAATTGAGAAGACCTTCTAGTAGAGCACCAGTTCTCTATTGTGACAGGCATGCCAGAGGAAATGCTTCACTTTAGGCTGCCAGAGGAAATGCTTCACTTTAGGCTGTACTTTCAGCTTCCATTGTTGAAGTGCTTGGTCCTTTAACTGGCTGGGAAACAAGTTCTTTTTTATGGTAGTGGTTTTCTTCTAAAGATAATTCACCTACAGAAGATGTACTCCAAAATTTAACAAATTCTCCTATTTGTGATCAGTAACAGGGATGAGCATATAAGAATTTTATGGTAACCCAGAAAAGAAGAGAGAGAACAACGTAGTCTTTTGTGTACTGTACACCAGTATTTAATCAAGAAACTGGCTAGAAGCAAATAAAACAGATCGAGGACCTCAATGTTCAAGAGTAGAAACAATAGTAGAACGAAACAAAGGAGGAAAATCAGCAGGTAAAGATTTTAGGATTTGAATAGGCAATTATTCGACAAGTTCAAATCAGCACCTGAATTTAATTTTAAATTTTAAGAACCAAAATTAGTAGCGGAAACTCAATGAAGAATATCTTACTAAAGCCATCTCTAACATCTTCATTCTCAAAGACCACCTTACTAAAGCTTTGACTAATAATGGAAATTTTTGAGAACTTCCTAGAGCAAAATATTTTGATCCTTAAGAAATATTATAGTTCTAGCTAGCTTTAAAATTCCTAAGGCGTCGAATGGAATTGCATCTCCAGTCTCGTGTCCCTTTTCTGCCCCAGTTGCTCAAAAAGACTACAGTCCCCTCATGCTGTTGAAGAGGTGATTCAATAAATTAACCATAAAAGTCACCAAAAAAAGAAGGAAAAAGAAATTAAAAAAAAAAAGAAATTTGAACAATATTTTTCAATTACAAATATTCAAAAACCTCCAACATTTTGTCCGTTTGGAATCCTACCTACATTACATAGATGATGGTGTTTTATGCAACCCATTATCAAAATTTTGTGTCATTTTCTCATTTCAAATTGGCTTTTCTGATCTATAGTCTTTCACCTTGGAATACAATACCTCCTTGAAAGAATTTCGTTAGAGACAAATAGGGGCTCAAGACTGGATATGTTTAGTAGAAACCAGTGTGAAATTCTGACATGGTCATCTTCAAACATTTTCAAACAAAGAGCTTCATTTGAGGTAGCAAAATTGGTCACCAGCATATCGCCATTTTAATATCAAGTCAGCAACATGGAACTACGCAAAGTCAGCATGTAATTGCACTGTTATAATTATCATGAACTATGTAAATAGATATTCATAACACAGGATGAAAGTGATAAAGAGAGTATTATGTATGATATAAGAGATGGAAAAGGACAAGACGTGTGTTTCTTTGCTTTCTGCAACAAATGACATAAAAGATGAAAAACATAAATAAGAAAACCTTTAAACCTATCACTCTTCACTTAATTTTTTTTTGGGAGAACACTTGCGTTTTATTTAAATGAACCCTTGAGCTTGAAGCACTATCCTTCAAACAAAACTAAAAAAAGTCATACTAGATTTAAAAAATAAGTAAGAGAATCTTATATCATAACAATCCCAATTAACTAAAAGATAACAAATGTACCTTAACCTTATGATTGAATGCCATCTAGAGGGATCAGCTTGTCAGTTTCTTCAACATATAAAAGATAAACTGCAGTCTTCTTCATCACAATATGTTTGTATGCAAACTTGATTTCAATTTCCACCTCATTTCCAGGCTCCAAATTAGATACTATGTTCTGCCATTCTTCATTGGCAGAAGTAATTATTGTGACTTCTTGCTCGTAGAAATGCATGGTAGCCTTTGTGAAATTCTTTATCATGAGACCAATAGAGTTTACAGATACCATGCTACCTTGAAGAGATGAATAGATAACGCTGAGGACCATTCCCTTTAAGCTATGACCAGAAACTTCAGGAACTTCAAATGACACTGAAGATCCCTCATGTTCAAAAACTAACCAATCAGGATAATTTTCTTTAGGAGGACAATAGTGAAGCCCTCCATTCCTTCCCTATTCCAAGAACACAAGGAAAGAGTCTTCCCATTCAATCAATCTAGAAAATATGGAAAATAATATTCACAAGAATAGTTGACACTCTAAGCAAATCAAAAACCTCAATGTTTAATACATGGCAAACAGGTTTGTCACAGGGATAAATGGTAAATATAGTGTTAACTATGCCACGTACATTTACGCACACAAAAACAACATATTTACTAAAAGTATGATCTAGCATTACTATAAAAATATAATACCGATAAAAGCGCATTTTATATTGTTGTACCTTCAACTCTCGAACATTTACTCATAGATAGTTAAACATGTATGGCAGAAACGTGCCCTCCCGGTATTGAAAAGATTATGCATATGAGATAGGAGAGAATTAATTAAGATAGAGAGAAATACCTTTGAAATACTCTTTAGAAGGGCATCTGTAATTTTGTTGAACTGCCCTACTGGAATAATCAAAGAACTCATCAATGTTTCTGACCTTTCTCTGTGAACTTGATCATGAAATTCAAGTAATGCCGGAGCATTTTGGCATGAAACCTGAGATGTGCTCGGTCTTGCTTCTGATGTTTCATATCTTCTTGAAGATAAAGGATGTGATAGACCCCTAATTAAAGCTGGCATGGACCAAAATGCTTGCGACAATGACTTTGAATAATGTGTTGATGGTGACATCCAAGACAAAGAAAGAGATGGAAATACATCACGTGATAATCCTTCATAGCCACACAGAGACACATATTTAATACTTTTCAGTCTCAACAATGAGAAAGGAACTTGAGCCATAGAAGTTTGATTTGCCATCAAAGTTGTTAAAGATTCCATTTGTTCAATGTCTTCTTCTAGCTTTTCAAACTTTGAACAACCAGAGAGATTGAGGGTCTTCAAGGATTTCAATTGATATACACTTCTCGGGAGGTGGCTGAGGCTTTTACAGTCCTTTAAATTTAACATAACAATATATTGAAGATCACCAATGGAATGGTGAATTATAGACAAACGAGGACAATCTTTGAGTATTAACTTTTCAAGATATGGTATCTTTGAAAAGTCAGGTGTCTCTATTAAGCAATGAGAATGACTAAGGTTGAGAATTTTCAACCCCTCCAGCAACTGTGAAAAGCAGATAGTTTAAAATAAAAATAATAATAAAAGGGAAATAACAGATGGAAACAAATAGAAATACTGTCATTAGTGTTTCATTCCAAGAACTCAATGTAAGTACCTGGCTCTTCTCCCAAACTTTCACAAGATTACTCCACTTTAAGTCAATGGCAACTATCTTCTCTAGATTGAAGTTCATTGGCAAGCTTTCTAAGGGAAACCCATGCCAACAAAGCCATCTCAAATTTGTTGATAGATAACTATAATCTCCAATAAGTTGTACATTATCAAGTTGAAGCAAACGAAGCCTCCTCATATTCTTAAATGTTTTGGCACTCAAGTACAATGAATTGTTCATTGACAAGTTTAAAGCCAGTCCTTTGATGGACATTGTTCCCTGCCAAATAAAAACAAACAAAAAACAAAATCTTTTGGTGATTAAATCATTAAGATAAAGGTTTACAATTGGCAAGAAAAAGATAAGAGCATATTGAATAATAAGAAACATAAGGAAATAATTCAATTAAGTCATTCAGAAATATTCTTACAGTTTTATCTCTTAACACATCCAACACATTGTCATGAAACCATAATCTAGTACGTTTCTCAGGCTCCTCTAATGACTGCTGACGAATAATTTCTCTTCCCATGTCACGCAATAAGTCATGCATTTCAAGCTTATTTTTGTTGCCAACTCTTACAAGGCTTCGTTCAATCAAGCGACTAATTCCAATATCTGCATGAAGTCCACAACCATTCAATATTTGTGTCACATCGCTCTTGTTCTTCCCAATAAAGAAACAACATATATCAAGAAATATTTCTTTCTCTATATCATCGCTCAAACCATCATAGCTTATTTTAAGCTTCTCATGGATTTGATCATTTGGAATTTGTTGTAATCTCTCCAAAACACTTCTCCAAATCAATATTTCTCTATCATATAAATAGGAGCCAAGGATTTCAAGAGCTAGGGGCAACCCTCCAGAGTAAGAAACTATCCTTCTTGAAAGTTCAATGAAATCTTGTTCAGGTATTGCTTGCTTAAATGCATGCCAACTAAAAAGTTCAAGAGATTCGTTGTCATCCAATTCTTTCACACTATATACATGAATCACTCTTAAGACGTTAAGTAAATGTTGATCTCTAGTAGTGATAATGATTCTACTACCTTGACCAAACCACTCAAGACTTCCGCACAGAGCTTTTAGTTGGTCTTCATTGTTCATATCATCAAGTACAACAATCACTTTTTTCTTACAAAGGATTTCCTTTACTAGAGTTTTTCCCATTTCTACATCAGGTAGTGTCATCCTTCTTGATTTTAAGATACTTGAAAGAAGTTGTTCTTGCAAGTAAACCGGACCATTATCTTGCTTCCAAACTTCCCTAACATTTGCAAGGAAGCACTTTCCGTCAAAACTTTGACCAACTTCATTATAGATGGCTTTAGCAATTGTTGTCTTGCCAACACCCCCCATTCCCCAAATCCCTGAAATGATAACCTCATTTGATTTACTACTTAGCAATTGGATGATATCTTGCACGCGAGACTTCAATCCCACTGGATGGTGAGCAACAAACAGGCATTTGTTGTCACCTATCTTCATTCTAACAGTTTCAGTAACATGGCCAATTAATTCGACTTCAGTTCTGGCAACAATAAGAAGTTAGATAACACTGAAGCCAAAATAAGACAGTGTTGATATGGTCTATATAATTTTAATTAGAAAATATTACAAGTCTGACATGAACCAAACTTCGTCAAAGAATTTGATTTTACCTTTACAAATTAAAGAAAATTTGGTTGCATAGAATATATTTAACAAAAAAAAAAAAGCATTTGATTATAAAAGGATAAGCCTGTGTATTGGCAGGCCCTGTGGTTGGCCACTTATCTATGTCAATTAACATACAACAACCTACGTTAAGTAAATATTGTATTACAGGATTATTCCAATTTTTCTTTCATATACTGTTGTTGACGAATTACTCAAGTATAAATGCTGATGATAATTCCACCTGATTTATGATTATTAAATCAAAATCGTTATAGAGGCATTTGTTTTCAACAAATTACCGATTTGAACAAAAAACAAAGTTATACAAAAGCTTGTGACGTAGTGGTAGCTAATTTTCCTGGGATATTTTATGCGATGCTCTTGTGATTTTTAATTATTTGGAGATAGATAAGTAAAAGCAGTTTCATCATTGTGGTTTATAATTCCCATGTTGAAACCATATAGTTCCCCTCCCCCTTTCTATACACACGCATAATACGAGACTATTTTAGATGAAACTCATATCACCAAAAGGAACTCAAACTTGCTATGAAAAAGTAAAAAAGGAACTTAAGGAATTCGACCATTATAAATAGCAATGAGTAAAAAGATTAAAAATACCTGTAGTTATGCATGTCCCACCCAGATAAATTGGCAGCTTCTGTAAGGGCTCTTTTTACATTGGTTGTCAATTTCTTCATTTTGCCACTTGAAGTTCTCTTAATAAGTCTTTCCCATGCTTTTCCAAAAGCGTTTTGTTGTTTACGAACTTCAAAAGGTCGCACATCAAAAAATATAGGTAAAACCTCTTGATGAGTTGTTTTGTAACACTCCATGACTTTCTCTAATTCTTGTAAGCACCAACTAGAGCCAGCATAATTCTTTGAGAATATAATAATTGAAATTCTTGAACTTTCAATTGCTTCCAATAATGAAGATGAAATATTTTCTCCCTTTTCAATTCTTTCCTCATCCATGTAGACCTCAATACCTGCTTGCTTTAAAGCACTGCAAAGATGAGAAGTGAAAGATTTGCGTGTGTCGTCACCTCTAAAACTTAAGAATACGTCATAGTTATATATGAACTTCGGCTTACTATGACTGATTTCCTTTCCCATCTCTTGTAGCAAATCATGAACATAAAGCTTGTCATTCATGACCTTTACAAGATTACGCTCAATGATTACTGACATTCCCGTTTCGGCAGGAAGTCTTGAGCTTTTTAACAATTGTGTAACATGGTGTTTACTCTGACCCACATAAAAAGAAGCTATATTAAAAAATATATCTTTCTCTATATCAGTTAATAACTCACAACTAATTTTGAGCTTCTTTTGCATTGGACCACAAGAAATTCCTCCCATGTTATTCATCATTTTTTCCCACTCGTTTTTCGTCCTATTATGCAAAAGAGAGCCAAAGACTTCGAGAGCCAAGGGTAGTCCTTCACAGTATCCAATGACTTGCTCTGAAAAATCCTCAAAATCATTTGTTGGAGTAAATTTCTTAAATGCATGCAAGCAAAAAAGTTTAAGAGACTCCTTTCTGTTTAACCTTTTCATTTCATATGATATGTCAGCAAAGGCATCTAAGATAGCCTTATTTCTTGCTGTAATGAATATCAAGCTCCCTTTACCACACCACTTCACATTTCCGCACAATTCCTTGAGTTGAAATTCACAATTGACATCATCAAGTACCACTAGACTCTTCTTCCACTGAGTTCTTGCATCATTAGTTCATGCATCACAACATCATCTGTCTTATCAAGTTTAGTTTCAGAAATATCTGAAATAAGTTGATTTTTTAGGAGAATTTCACCGTTACCTTCCTTCCACACATCCTTAATATTTGAAAGGAAACTTTTACCATCAAAATTGCCACCGATTCTATCATAAATAGCTTTGGCAATCGTTGTTTTACCAATACCTCCATCTCCCCAGATTCCAACTATGATTGTATCATCCGACAAAATGTATTTCAACCCCAAAATATTAAGCAATTCTCTCACACGAAGTGGTAACCCTACTTGATAGCATGGAAGGTCATGAAATGACTCATCGTGCAACATGGAAAAACCCAAGTTTGACATGCAGCTACTGAATTCATTCCTGTCACAATTGGCAGGGTAACATTAGATTAAAAGCACATAGAGGTATGTGTTATGAAACTATGCGTGTGTGTAAAAGAAATGTTGGCCTTCTATATTTGAATTATTTTTTTGAGAAGGTTTCTCCCTCTAGTGAGAGCTGCGACTTGATCATCTCCCTAGTGAGATCTAATCATGTGTGAGGGTTAAGTGCATGAAGATATGAAGAATCATATAGAAGACCCTATGGGCTTTAATGAGTGACCAAAAGTGTTCTGCATTTAAGCTTTCTTGGTAACACAATCCAAGTTAGGGTTTGTGTCAAAGCTTTATTGAAAATACTTACAGTGCTCTGTGTAATGGGTTAGCTTGCTTAAACCCCCTGGACAAGAGAGCTTGTTGTTGCTGCTATTGTCAGGCTTTGATTGCCTATGAGATTTGAGTTAGCTAGTTGTAAGTGAGCTATGAAATTCCTATATTTTGATGTTAGCTAGAGATCTAACATTGTGCTGCAGGTTAGAACGAGAAACTTTTAGTTGTAAGGGGACTGGACAGATAAGCGGTGGATCAAATCACGATAAATTTTTTGTCACTCTTCACTCCTTACTCTATCTATTGCTTCTTGATTTAGCAAACTGATCAGGAAATCAACTTCGCTATTTGGTAATATTTATAGAACACTATAACTAATTGACCTACACATTTAAGAAGGATATCATGACTGATAAAATCATAGATAGAGCAATGACAATATTGATAGTTAACAAGGATTAGCATTGGCAGGAATGTCTAGATACAGAGGTAGAGTAGAATGCTTTCATCTTCAAGTTTGAAAGCTATGGGGAGCACAAATAGAACACTAAAAGGAAGACCGTGGGGGTAGATTAATTTTAGGTAGCTTGCTTAACGTCCAAGAACGGGAAAAATACAAAGTATATTACTGAGAGAGAGTGCTTCCAAGCTACTTGATACTCTTTCGGTCCTTAATATAGAACCCAATTATTAGTTGGTTTTGATCCTAAATATAAGACCCATTTCTCATGTTTATCCATTTTCTTTAAATTATCCCTGTAGATACGTCATCAACTATAATCAAGTAAAAGAGGAAGATATGGTATTAAAAAGATGATAATGGTATTTTAGAAAAAATGTGTCACATTTTTTATAATTAACTAATTTATCTAATTTCCTTAATCTAGTTAAATGTTAAATGAGTTTTATATTAAAGACCAGAGAAGTATTTAATATCTCTTATAATAATATTTCTAAATACAAGAAACAAATCTTTTTGTTTAAAATTTTAAACTGTTTTTTTTATTTTTACCCTATTAAATATATGTCAACTATTATTTCTTTACAATAAATTTTTACTCATTATTTATCAATCTTTTTATATATGGAGGTATAATTGAAAAAATATATATATACCTTATATATTTATTATTTTTGATTAAATTTAAACTATGAAAAATTAATTTGAAGGAATTTATAGTTTTCTTTGATTTTGAGCCAAGTTGCTCAATTTTTTTCTATTTTATTGAATCCTATAACTTTTCATCATTACATCCATTAATCTTTCCTGTTAAATATAAACTAACGGTGGTAAAAATTTCCGTTGACCACTCTAAAGCTCTCCTCTCTCTTTAACCATTGCTGACCATCAACTCCACTCCATCCCCAACGTTCTCCCGACATGTAAGTGGCTCACGATTCCCTCCCATCTCTCCATACCACCTTCCCTTTCCCTAATCACAAAGCCAAACTCGTGCTTCTGCAAACTCAAGTTTTCATCTTCAATGTGAGATAAGTACTTTTTTTAATAGACTACTCTGTTTGGCTCTGTTTCCAACACAAAAAACAGAGCCTCCATTAAGAACGGGTGGTGAGTGCTCTGGCTCAGAACTTCAATGACAACCCAGCAGTTCTCACTTAAGGGTGATGAGTGCATAACTGCAAGGCAGTGTGCTCTAACTACCGCTATGAGTTCGATAAGAAACAATTCTCACTCTGAACCTCGCTGCTATAAGGATTTTTAAATTAGCTTTCTCTTTAAACTACGTAATTTTAATAATTAGTACTTTCTTATAAAAAAATTGATGAAGATCCTGTTTGACTTTTTGTTTGTCCTAATTATAAGACCCCAATCCATTCTCTTCCATATTTATGTATTTTTTTCCAAGATATGCTTCATAATGATAGTTCTAGCCATATACTTAATTAGCAAGGATATTTTAAGAATGACAACACTTATTTATTACAAATAACTAACTTAACTTACTTTCTTAATCTTCTCAAATAAGTCAATTGGATCTTATAATTAGGATCGGATCGGAGGTAGTATTTCTTATAAAAAAAATTGATGAAAGGAAAAAATGGAGGAGCAAAAGGGGATAATTTATTACCCGGAATCAACGGAGAGTTTGAAGCCAGGCCGGGAAGCAACTCCCGTGAGGTCAAATCTGGGAGCCAAAGCCACCATCTCGTCATGCACTTGCCGCCGGCTTACTCCACAGAATACAGGCATCGCGTTGTCATTCCACCACATAGTCCTGGCCACCAGTCTCTTGAGACACTTCTTCGACTGAGGAACTCCGGTGAAAAAAATGACAATCAATCTGACCCTGACATCATTGACTCCTGACGGCCACTGTACAACACTTCTTCTTCGTCGTCGACGAAAGCTCTGATTCCAGCATCTCTCAATTTGTTCACGACATAGCCTTTTACACACCCCTTGGGATCTCTCAGAGTTATGAACACGTCGTATTTGAATTTGGAGGACGCAGAAGCCAAACACGACGCCATGGCTAATTAATTCACCAGCAAATTACCGATCCCACAACGCAGTTCCCTTTTAATTATGGCAATTAAAGCGGAGTCAAATCAATGTCATCGATTGCTAGGAAAGGAGTTTCCCCGTTTCGTGTTCTGAATGGGGCCCCACGCGTTGATGCCTTTTAACTTTTTCCCTCATACCGTCCTCAATCATTTTTTATAATTATAATTTTTCAATTAAAATGTAATACATTTTTTATGTACGCATGGTGACCAAAAATAAGGATATTTAAAAACGTGGATCACAACTTTTATAATACATGACTGACTTAATTAATTTAAAAAAAATAATTAATCAGATCTTGTATGCAGAACGCGATATGAGAAGTTCAGATATTGTGTAGAGTGAAGATGACGGTAAAAACAAATCATTTCCATTCCCTCACAGGATCAAACTACTCAAAAACAATATACTCCTCCGGTCCTTAATATAAGACCCATTTAACTAATTTGATTAGATTAAGGAAGTTAGGTAAGTTAGTTAATTATAAAAAAGTGACACATTTTTCCTAAAACACCATAATCATCTTTAATACCTCATCTCCTTCTTCTATTTGATTATAGTTGAGGGTGTCTATAGGGGTAATTTAGAGAAAATTGATAATATGAGAAATGGGTCTATATTTAGGACCAAAACCAACTCAAGAATTAGGTCCTATTAAGGACCGGAGGAGTAAAAAAGATTCAATTCAGGCTAAAAAAGGAGTTCGATTGGATAGGTAAAATCTTCGTGTCGGTGGCTTTTTTTCTTTGGGCAAAGGCTTTTTTTTGTTTGAAATAAAGGCAAAATGATATTAAGTAAAAAAAAAAGTTCAAAGTACAATAATAGAAGAACAACATAAACTAGAATTGAGAATGTTTTTTTAACATTTAGGATCTTTATATTGTATAAAAAAAACATTTAGGATATTTATATCATCATGTTTTGTTAATAGTTTTAAGGTTAAAAGGCTAAAAATATATTTTTTAAAGTTAAAGAATTAAATTGGAACATTATGTAAAATTAAATGACTAAAATTATACTTTACTATTATGCAAAATAAAATAAAAATTAATGTTAAGTTCAAAGAAAGATCTCTCAGCCTATACTAACCGTTGTGTTTTCCATACTGCTGATAAAAATATATTGTTATTTACAAATCTCAATAAAAAATTCTTATAAAAATATGTTGTTATTTATAAATTAAGTATTGTCAAAACCTATTACAATGTGAAAATAAGAAAACCTATTACAATGTGAAAACCAAATCTGATTTGTCATTTGGTAATTTCAATTTTTTATTTTTCTAATTTAATTTGCTTTTATATGTGCTTTGAATCTGAGTCAGATGAGCACATCCTTTTTCTTTTCTTTTTTAAGTCCCCATAACGCGTCCCGTTTATAATTGCACAAAGATGTTGGCTTTTTTTACCACCAAAGGAAAAAGAGAGTTTGATAAATTTGTCTAACAACTCTTTCAGATTTATTAAAGAGATCATCAGCGTTAATCACGGGCAATTAAGAAGATAATTTAATCACAATCTTCAGAATAATATTTTTTTAATGAACATTGATGGTTTGTTGGATGTCTGCATCGCATGACAAGGATAGTAGGCATAAAGAGGAGACAAGCAATTAGTA